GAGTTCTAACAAAACTGAAGATACTGACTAGCTGCTGGCGCGGCGGTTACTTTTCCAGCTATAAATAGATGTTAAACGAGTAGTCTGTAACTGTGTTTGGCGCACCAGGGAGTTTAATACTAGATGGAACATCGTTTCGTGGTGGGTGTCCGTCTGAGTCTCCAGGATTCAGGTGTGCTTAAATGTCATGATTGCTATTCGCACTGACTACTTCCTCGCCGTTCACCTCATCCGCATAGGAGACGCCGTTGTCTTCTTCATCCAGTGCCTCATCCGAGTCGGAGAGCTCTAGTGCAGCAGTTAGCGTAGCATCAAACGTGCCTGAGCTCGTAACGGCGACGCCCAGAAAGCTCGAGTCCATGCGAGGGGACTGTGATATCTGCCTCAGTTGCGAAATAGCGTCTTGTTCTTGCGTGGCAGGCGAAGCCTCGTTCTCTTCGTCCGCACTCGCTGGAGTGTTTTGCCCTGATCCCCCGTCGTTTATAGTTGTAAATGGACAGTCATTGCTCATCTTGGAGAAGCCTCCGTGGGGTTGCAAAACTGGAGAAACGAAACTCGGCCTTGCGTGACCTGCGATGATCGATCCAGGATCACCGTCATTGTTCGAATCACGACGAACACCGGCGCCGTCTGGGTCAGGCATTGCACCAGTGTTCGAGGAAGGCGGAGTGTAGATGGTCGAGCCAGGGAGACAGCTTGAGGCACCAGTGCCAGTCTCAGCGCCGTTATTAGAGCCAGAATTACCTCTGTTTCCCGAGTCCTCGTCTTCATCAGCACCGTCAAAGGTAGTGTGAGACCCCACCTTCTCTTCAATCTCCATCTGGATGCATATGGCCCACAGTATCGCCTTGTGGGCAGGTTTCACCTCCCCGTTGCCCGACGGCTTCGGCTTGTTATATAGGGTTTTGAATTTGCGACGCAGCGATTCTAAATCTTTCTCGAGAGAGCTCCTTCCACGACGTGAGTTGTAGTGGATAGTTGTCCGCTCCCACTCGTTCCTTCCAATCGGAACGATTTTCTCAACATTGCACACAGCAACAGTTGCTCACGCACTGAGTAGTTGCTGTAGCCTGTTCTGCGGCCGCGCTGTGTAGCGGTTTGTAGCAGTATTTGTTAGCAACTACGCTAAAGAAAAATTCCTGGTGGATTTGCACGTACCGCCATATTGCCGTTCCGATGCCTTGTGTCCTTCACAGAAGATCGCGAAATGACAAGCACATCTTCATAGATACTAATATAACCTTAAACACTGAGATTTGAAAAAAATATATGTTGAGCTTTGTATTAACATCTGCAAGTGAAATACAGCTTAAAAAACCTAAATCACGGTGAGAACTTGGCTACAGGTCAGGAAGATGCTGGATATCTCTGTGTTGGCAGCCATCCCAGCCACGGCGGCAAATAAACCAAAGCGCATCACCATAAGAGACTGTGATCTCGTCTCCAGGGAACACGTCTCTGTCAGTGACAACGGCAACAGTGACATAGCGCCCGATTTGTACCTCGTGAAACGCAGCACAGGGATTACAGGCGTGGTTGGCGAGTCGAAATAGACCGCCAGCCACGCTGGCATCGACCCCGTATCGCTTTCCAGACTCGGAAGGCGTCTTCAAGTGCAGTATGTAGCCATTGTTTGGATACCCATTCGCACGCGGAGGACCGAACAGCTCGATGTTGCCAAAGTACTCACCAATTATTGTGTCCCTCGGTATTGCACGTGAGGCCACTAAGCCGAGCCCTCCTTTATAAGGACTCTTGCAAATAGTGATTCGTTTGCTCTCTTTTAGTGCGTTTCCACACATACCAGCGAACGAGCAGTTGTTGCGACAACAGAATCGGTTATTCTTTGCGTTCTCACAAGAGGCCGTAGTACACGATTGTTTGCAGCGGCACATTCCACCCATCGAAACCGAAGGAACTTGCAATAGATCGGCTTGATCTGTGTATGTAGGCGCTCAACATCACGGGGCCAGCTGGCCGGTTCCCACGAGTTCGGGTCTTTCGGTGGGTATTTCATCTGGAGGATCTCAAAACCCGGTGAGCTGCACGTGGCTGAACTATCCAACGAGGCGACAAGGCCTTGCGTCACATGGTGAAGCCGCTTGAGATGATTGGGAGCACCAATAACTCTGGGAGAAGGCCAAGTCCGAGTCGACACTGACGTCAAGCTCACCAGACGCTTTAGCGTCACGTGGTGGCTGGAACCGTGTCGCATTCAGTGGAGAGGACAAAGAGAGGACCACTGACGCGTCTGAGTCGGAGCCGTCGTCCTGCCACATTTCCACGGTGGAAGCGATAGAACCCTCGTCCGATTGCATCGAGTTAGACGAGCTCACCTGACCCACCCTGACTGCCGCGGGAGACGTGCTCACGCCAGGCGCTCTTACTCGAGTGTTATCTTCACGAGAATCGGACAGCGATGCTTTCTTCGTTTGCATTGTACCAGCGATAAAGGTGCCAGGTACGCTAACGTTTTGGTTCTCTGCCGCTGCTGAATCCGCCTCCCGTTGAAATGTTTTTGGACGCTAGGCAGGATTCCTTTTTTTCTCGCGACCATCGCCATGATCTCCAGCGGTGGGAGATCCTTTGCGTTTAGCCCTCGCGTACATATCCACCGCTCAGAAATCCTGTATTATCGATCAGGAGTGGAGGGAATAACGTTAATGGTAGCCCACACAAGGAAGTCAAAGAAATCACCACTAGGAAAGTCGATATAAAGCCGGCCTCGGCTTGAGCAGCATCCAGGCTATTTCAAAATGAAGACTCCTCGTTTAGGCGGGGATTTGCTGAGCCGAAACCACGCGCACGCGTGCGCGTCCATGGCTTTTTAAGATCTACCTTGATACTTCTCGGTTGCAGCTTCAGGGCGTTGAAGATGACCGATACAGTTTACCATACGTACATTGATGCCGTTTCCACAAGAGGGTCACTTTTAAACGGTTCGATTTTTCTTGAAAAAAAACGACGACCAAACAGAATTGTTTGGTCTGACCACTTTTTTGGTTAATCCAAAAATTCCCCGCTTTATCAGCTTTTTAATCGCGTTTAATACCACCTAACCCATCTATCAAACCAGTTTTATGTAGGTTTTGGAAGGCGTCCATTATACCATTATTTTACCGAAACCTTTAACAAGACACATCCTCACAATAGTGAAATAGTGATCCATGTCATTCGAGTACACTGGTTGCATGAGAAGAGTGTACAACAAGAGCTATGGACTACAGTACGCAGCCGTCCTCGACCGGGTTAAATGGCTACGTTCGAATCGATCTGAGGTGTGTGTGTGTGATGGATGAAGCAGCAGCACTTGGGCATCTGCATGTTGTGGGAATGGCTACATGTCAATGGAGCGGAAGGTTGCACTGATGAAACCGCGGGAAAATGGACAGTAGAAAGTTTTGCAGCTTGCTCTAAATTAGGAAATCGAAGCCAGGTCCTAATACTTTACGTTTGGGTCGTAGTTGAGTGCCCAGGCGGCAAAGGCGGAGGCTGAAGCAGACACACGCCTGAGCAAAGTCTGAGGCCGCTCCGTGACGGAATACACACGAGTTGAGCTTGATGGCGGTTGGTCCGTCGCACCGGAAAGAGGTTGACGCTCGCCACGCTCCAAGTCGCTCGGGTACTCGTCGTCTTCATCGTCGTTGTAGTCCTCCACACAGCCACTGGCCAGCTCATCGAGGTTCACTTTGTCCTTCTCCTTACTTTGATGTCCATCCGGCACCAGAACCACCAGGTCTTCACTACGAGGTGTGCTCGGTCGATGGCGAGTCGACAGCAACGGTCTCTTCTTCGTGTCTTGACTGACTCGACTCGTGGACAATGGCGCTGCACCAGACATGGAGCCTTGACGCGACAGAATTGGAGACAACATCGAAGCAGCTGGAGCTCTTCCAGGCTCTGAATCCAGATGATCCACACTCTCGATCTTGTAATTATTCAGCACTCGGAACGCTCGTTTCCGCTGCAATTTCTCTTCTTGCCGTCGCTCGAGACGCTGCGCCGGCGTGTCCAACACCCACATCGTCTCGCCATTGGTGCTTCTGCTATCAATCTGCGTGCGAGATCTCGAGTCTTCATGCTCCTTCGCGCTCTGATCCTCTTCCGGAATCTGTTCCAGACCAGAACTCGTCGACTTGGACTTCGCCTGACGCTTCCTCTTGCCATGACGTCGCAGCTTCTGCACAGAGTGCGTGAGTGCATGGAAAACCTCCGAGATGTTCGAGTCGTAGTGCTTCTCAAACGTGTCCAGCTTGATCTTGTCGTTGAGCTCCAAGACCTTCTTCTCCCGCAGACTACACACGTGGATATCCACAACCGAGTCGCAAACACGGTTCTCCTCAGTGCTGCTACTCGTGCTGCCTACGTCCGAAGATCTCCGCTGCGTCGTGTCGTCTTCGCCCCCCAACTGTTTGCCCGATCCAGGCGGATCCGACTGCGTGCCATGGAACGACAAGAAGCTCGTCAGACTGCGACGTACGCGGTCGTGACGCAGCGCTTCGAGACGCTTCTTCTCCTGATACGCACAGAGCTTCTCCATCTTGTCCATGTGCTTCTCTGCTCGCTCCACCAGCACTTCCCACCGTTCACGTAGTTGCTCGGCTGTATAGAGCTCAAACTGGGGGTCATAGTGATGCTGCCTGGCTATAAGGCCATCCAAGACTCGGATCAGTTCCCATTTGGGCCCCACACGCTCCACTGCAAGCACCAGCAGCTCATCGTTAAAGCAGTCGCAGTGTTTGATCCGCTCGGTGCAATACGGACACAGGTCCTTCCAGCCCCACGTCTTGATGATCAGATACCACGCAAAGTCCAGCACCAGGCCCAGCAGAGACATCCGCATGATCGCAGCCAAGACGCCGAACCACATGAACTTCTTGAGGAAGAGGCAGCTGCGATAGGCCCAAATGTAGAAGATCGGCGCCTGAGCTAACGTCAGCAGGACCACGACCAACACCTGCAAGATAAACGCCAATCGGAAGGAAAAGCCGCTCAGATCGCCGCCACCTGTGGCCTTGGCGCGGAAATATTTGCGTCGTTGGCGGAAAATGAGCTTGAAGAGCTCCTTGAAGATGGCCTTGCCAGCCGACGGGAGGATGGAGATGAGGATGGCATACAGCACCACGGACGTGAAGATGGTGAGGTTCGCACCCCACGAATCGCGCAGCATGACGATGATGAACAGCACGTAGAACGTGATGTAGAGGGAACATACCACAATTAACGCCCGTTCACCGCGGGAAAGCCGTTCGTTGCGGTATGGGCAAAAGATCCACGTGAAGTAGTTTTCATGGCGCCACCACGTGTAGAACGGCTCGAAAGGCCGACGGAATTTCGTCCAACAGCACGGTCCGCAGAGCTTCGTCTTGGGCACTTTACGGTCCCAGGGCATGGGCTGCCAATAGTCCACTTCGTTCTCAGGCACATTCAGCTCTCGCGAGTAAATTCTCTCGATATTCTTCTGCCAACTTTCGCAATGAACAATCATCTGGAACACGCGTAGGCCCAA